TGCAGAAGGGATAAAAAAGATTAAAAATCCGTTTTTAAGAAACATGTTGGAAAATTGGAAGGAATTTAGAGAGGTATTGAGTCCACAGATATCTCCTTTATCTCAGGTAGTTGATTTAAGGAATTTCCCAGAAAATTTAAAAAATTTAAAGAATGTATTAAAAAGCAAACAGATAAGTAGATTAAAAGACTGGACAGAGAAGATAAAAGAAAAAGGGGATATAAAAAAGATATTAGGGGGAGAAGGGTATTCATGGTTAAATCTAATTCAATTAGAAAAGTGGACAAGAGAATGGTATACTAAAGAAGGGAAAGGTAGAAAAATGACAAAATTTGAAGAAATTATAGAAAAAAGATTGAAATCAGAGGAAAAAACAGAAAGAAAAGGAACTGTAAGTCAAATATATAAATTATTAAATCAAGTAGAACAGGGTACTGTAGGGTTAAAAATGCAATGGCAAAATGATTTGGATGAAGAAGTAATAGGAGAAGAATGGGATAAAATATGGGATCAGAGAATTATGAAGAACATGTCAGTAAGGATAAAAGAAAACTGCTATAAAGTAATATGGAGGTGGTATTTAACGCCGGTCAAAATGAATATGATGGATAAAACTGTGTCATCATTATGTTGGAGTTGTAAAAAAGAGAAGGGGACGTATTTACATATGTGGTGGCTATGTGAAAAAAGAAAGAAAGAATGGAAAGTAATATTTAGGGACATAACTGAAATTATGGGATTGAATATTTCAATGTCCCCAATAACAGCTTTATTGAATTTGAGTAAAGAGCAATTGGTGAATGAAAATAAGGATTTAATAATAATAATGATTACGGCTGCAAGGATAATTATGGCAAGGAATTGGAGAAATGAAAATCAATTTAACCTTGAGGAATGGTATAGAGAATTGTGGGATATGGCTATTAATGATAAACTGACATGCGATATGAAAATAAGCAGGGGCCAAATGAAAAATAATGACTTTAAAAAAATATGGAACGTATTTTTAGAACATGTATTTCGGAGAGGGAGGGGGTATACACCAAGTGAAGAAACATTGAAATTTTGGAATGAAAATGGATGGAAAGAAGTGTAATGCTAGTCCTGAGGGTGATGGGTTCACTGTTATGTTTTGTAATTTATAGTCTCGTAATTTACAGTTTGTTTTTTTGTAGTAGTAGGTATTTTGTATTTTTCGTTTTTTTTATTATTATTTTTTGTACTTTTTAATTAAAATTTATAAAAATAAAAAAAAAAAAAAAAAAAGGAGAGACCACCCTAACCCTAGCCCCTGGCCCATCCACCTCCTGCAGTCCTCCCCACGTCCTATCAGTGTAGTCGTTGTCATCATCATCATCATCATCATCATCATCATCATCATCATCATCATCATCATCATCATCATCATCGAGCCCGGCCCCTGTCAAAGAGGTACCATGGGGGAATCGAACTCCCCGCCTCTGGCTCCACAGCCTGGTGCCTAAACTCTGGAGCTCTGCAGCTAGTCCTCTTTAAGAATGCTGTCCCTCATCCCCCCCCCAAGCTTGTGGGTTGTTCCTTCTCCCTTCCAGATGGGATGGGGCGGGGCGGGGCGGAAAGCCTCCCTCCCTCCCTGTGGCCTGGTTCCATTATTAAGGCTGCATGGCCAGGCATGAGGCCCCTTCCTGATTCCCACCCCCGACATCCCCGCACACAACAAAGTA